TTTCCATCGAAAATAGATTGCTACAAGACGTTGTTAAGGTCAGAATTAAAGGGAGATCCTTCTCTACCCAGTCTGTGTGTGCTGAGAATCCTCTTTAACAGGCATGAGTTAGTCTGCCTGAGGGTGGCTGGAGAGAGAAACTGTGTTACTTCTCTCTTTCATTTCGTGAAACTTTATTTTTAAAAAGAAAATAGAGCTGGACATGGAATCTGAAAGTCCACTTTAACATTTGACTTCTGAGGCATTTTACAAATGTTGTTAAGATTAATGTTTTTCATAGTGATTCCACTAGTCAAAGAAACCCAAGATTTCCCTTGTATTACAAATGATTTAAAGCTGTATAGTAGCTATCATAAAAAACTATATATCATAAAATACATCACAATTTTACTTGTGTATGTTTTAATATGTGTACTGAGATTTGGGGTTTGGTTTATTTCTCTGGACTATACACTTTACAAAAGAAGCCATTATGTTTTAATGACAATTGCAGAATTTCCACTTCGCATTTGCTTCTTTTAATGTGCAAGTGCGGGCTAGAGAAGTAGAGAGATGAACTAATCGCCATTGAAAAGTCTACGGATATGGAACCAGGAAGTGGCACGGTGATTAAGGTGCTGGACACTCCCACATGCCCGACCAGGGTTCAACTCCTGAACCTGGTGGCTTGCTTTCTCACTTTCTCTCTCTCTCTCTCTCTCACTTTCTCTCTCTCTGTCTCTCTCTCTCTGTGTGTGTGTCTCACTGGTCAAATTAAAATAAATGAATGAATAAACAAAATTAAATAAATAATTCTTAAAGAAAAAAAAGGAAAGAAAGGTCTATGGCTAGAGGGACCGGCAGGTGGCGCAGGGTTAAGGCGCTGCGCTGCCACATGGCTGACCACAGTTTGCATCTCAGACCTGGCGGCCTGCTTTCTCACTTTCCCTTTCTCTCTCTCTGGTCAGATTTTTAAAATAACAATAAAAATAACAACAGAAGCCTACAGAGAGGCGCCATATTGGCTGAGGTGCCCGAGAGCTAGATTTCCATCACATTAGCTGAAGTAGGTGGGTGTTCTGGCAAGTTCTTTGGATTGAAAGCTGTAAATTGGAACGGTGCACTGACACCAGAGAAACCAGTCCCTCTCCCTCAAACAGTGAATCTGTCTTTTCATCAGGATTTAGAAGTCATAGATCCACTACTTCTGGCATCCAGAGAAAGCCAGGCAGGATTGAGACTTTTGGATAGATTAAAACAGTAGGTTTGTAGCAAATATATGATACATTGCAGCATTAATAACCTTAGAAGATGAAATTAGAGTACGGCGCCAAATATTGGGAAAATAAGGCTCTGTACTCTGAAATTTCTTCGGTCTTCGTTTTCTCTCTTTTGTGCCTATGTTGACTTAAAAACAAAAAGCTATTCTATTATCGTGTGCTTTCATTAAAATAACTTCATCTACGGTCTATCTCCTTCTCTCTCTTTGTTTATGCAAGAAAAAAGCAAAAAGTTGTTACACAATTTGTCACATAGTTTTCTGTGTCATTTGCACATACTTCCCAAGTAAGGACAATGAAGTTCAAAATTGCAAAAGCTCTGCCGGCAGCACCATCTCAAACACGATGGCGCTACGTCCCCCTAACCCTAAATTCCTTTCTCTCTCAGAGTCTGCTATGTCGTCTTCTCTCCCCTGACACAGAACAGGAAAAGACAACCATGTCATGGCTGCTTCCTATCCAATACGGAGTTTTCGGGAATTCGTTTCTTCTCACGTAAGGGGAGAAAGAATGAAAGGCACCTTGCTTGGGGGAAAGCAATTCTTTAGACTCATTTTTATCAGAAGTAGTTGCGCAGAGACTGCATTGCAATCAAATATAATGATGCATACGGAGTTGGGAGGGTAGTTTTTTGTTTTTATAGGATTTGACTCTGTGCTCATGTATTTTATGAGAAACAGACAAAGGGCTTACTAGAATACGACCTTTCCCAGCCATTCACGTTATGTATTTGCTATGTACTAATATTAGTTTCAAGATCCTCATTAAACTCGTGAGCTGAAAGTGTCAAACACGTTTGAAAATTATAAAGTTTCAACATTGCCGCACTGTCTTTCGTAAACACTCCTCTGTCTAAATATTTGAAGGATAAAAGACTGAGGATTTTTGTTTTGTCTTAGCTTTTGTTTTTTACTTTGGAATTAACCGATTATTTTTTTTCTTTTTCTACTTTGGAAATGTTGGCTACTCTGGAGCCACTCACTTTATTTTTTATGTGGCGGTAAGTCATGTCCTAATAATGCCTTCTTCCTCTTTTCCCCATGTAAATAACCCTTTCATTGTTAAGTTTTTTCCTACCACATTTATATTCAGAATTTCATACTATACAGGTCCCCAAGAATATACTCATTTTACCTCTTTGACTATAAGGCCTAAAAGCAACCATGGACTAGCAACATTTTCTTTCTCAAGAAAATATTCATCACTGTTCCATATTCAAAAGACCTGTTTCAATCTTTGGAAAAGATGATATTTGATTCCAAAATATCTGGAACCTAGGAGGAAGACATTAACGCTCTAGCAGGCCTTGGTGTGTGAGCTGCACCGAATCCTGTCAGTACTCTGCCAGTGCAAATGCACTCGCACGTATTCAGAGGTGTTTAAGAGGCCGAGGGCACGGGCAGGCGTGAAAGAGTGAGAGTTCTGAGTAAAAATAGATACTGGCTGAAGAATCTTCTTTCTAAAGCATCTTTAATGTTTCCCCAAAGCAAAATGCATACCTGTAGTAGGAAACACACATGCATGCACACACACACACTGAAATTATCATCCAGTAGTTGCCTTAGCTTGGTTAATTGCAAATGGCATATTTTGGGTGCGCATTTTTCGGATTACTGCCACCGGTTGCTTTGGATAGAACAGAAGGAGTACTAGACCTAGAATGACGCTTTTCTGCAGGAACTCTCAGATATTTAAACAAGTCCTTGGGCTTTCTGCTAAAGCAAGGAAGTCCACAGCGTCTGATTTCTTTTCCTTTAGTTTTGCTGTAGGGTGTATACGCTCACCAGTGTGAGAAGGAAGAGAGGAGGGAAAGGGAGAGATTACCCCCAGAGGAGGGGCCCATGCTATCTTCTCTCTTCTCCACTCTCCTCTTGGGACTTTGTGCATGCATGTCGTGTCCCAGGCTCGAACTGCCCAGCCAGCCATGTGGGACCCAGCTGCCTTAACCACCATGCCACCTGCTGGCCCAGTCTCTAACACATCAGTGCAGCTACTGTATGGCTGGCCTGAGAGCCAAGTATGTTATGTGGGGCAGACACAGACCCTGTTCCTCAGAAAACATCTGGAATTCATTTCAGTGTCCTTTGAATAATGTATTTCTACCTCCTGCCTTCATTCCCATAGCCTGCAATGAGGATCTTTTGTTGAGAATTTCGAAATTTATTGTTGAAGTCATGTTTGGCTTATTTAAATCTTCCACTGACATTTTTTCCCTAACATGTATTTATTGGGACAATTAGATCAAATTGGACCATTAGGCCATTAGGCCACTTAGACCAAACCATATGCTTTAAATCATAGGTAACATTTGTGAGGAAGGTCACCTTTTGTCCTAGCCAGTAGAGTCTGTACTGTTCACCCTCACAGCCAAGGGCAACTGCCTACTGGGAAGAGCCTCAGAGGTATAAAATGAAGGGAGTTCTGAGTCACCCAAGACAGTGTGCTGACAACAACGGAGCTAAAGCAGACTCCTTCTCCCTCCTGGTTTATAACCTGCTTTTTTGTACTTGCCCTTACTTGCCATTGTAGCTATTTCTTTTTTTTTTTTTCTTTTTTGTAGAATTATTTATTTAATTTAATTTATTATTTTTAAATTTGCTATAAGGCAAGTGTGCTCACCAGAGAGACAGAGAGAGAGAGATTGAGAAAGCAAGCCTCCAGGTCTGCCATCAGCCATGTGGGAGTGCAATGCCCTAACCATCATGCCACTCCCTGGCTCCTCATAGTTATTAACAGGTAGTTCTTGGTATCGTGTGTGTGTGTGTGTGTGTGTGTGTGTGTGTGTGTGTGTGTGTTTATCTGCAGCTTGGGAACAGATGAAATTCCACATGGGAGAACTCGACACCTACCAGTCAGGGTGTTTTTCCCTTTCCCTGGGTCTTTTCCAGAGTCTGGGTAAATGTGTTCCTAACAAAAAGAGACACGGAAGCAAAAGGCCAGTGAATTAGTGATGAAAACAGAAGCAGGGCTGGTGTGCTCTCCTTCTTTTGGTATCCTTTCCTCCCATTTCTCTGACCTACTTTGCTAGTAATGATTGGTTTTTTCACACCTGGCCGCGAAGCCCTGGTGTGAGGTCCGGCCTGAAGAATGCGGTGTGAGTATCCAAGCTGCTCATCCATTAGGAGTTGGCTTCCTTCCTTCAGCTTGGTCAGTCCTGGTGTCCTCACCTCAGGGGGGCAGGTTTCAAGGCCAGTACTGTGTAGTTATCCACTCCGCTTCACAGAGATCGAGACAGGAGTGGCACTCATACTAAGATCAGGAGAGGGCTGAGTGCAGCAACCAGCAAACTCCCTTTTCACTTGGAAGCTAGTGTTATGTTCCTCACATAATATTTCCCTAGTTCCTTAAAAGAACCCTAGTGACTTGTCTCTGCGTTAACATTGCTATTGCCCAGAAGGCGTCCATCCCTCTGAGCAAATCCATAGCCACGCTTCCTTACAGCGCTGAGGTCTTCATGTGAAAGAAGAGTGGACAAAGAATAAACATAAATCCAGGAGGTTTTGTAATAACAGAAAACTGCCATGTTGAAATTTCAGGGTTCTGGTTCACAGCCATTCCCTTGGTAAAACAAAAGTCGACCTCCAGTAATAACTGAGTTTGTATCTTTAACCATTTTTCATGCAGATTGAGAACGAACTGAGTGAGTCGTTGGAAAAGTCTTGACATATTTTTCTGTGTTTCTCTATGCAAAAAATGCGTCATGACTTTTCTGATGACCCAATAGTTCAGAAACCAGGCCTCGTCAATTGTATACCCCCAATATAAACATCAGTGTTTCGATGTTCACCACACAGTAGGTCTTCAATAATTACTGTCAAATTGAACTGAATTAGCTAATGCTCAACACTAACCTTGTTTTTTCAACTCTAGATAATTTAGAATACTTTCACATTTCATGGTTATATGTCATATAGCGGATGGAATTTTACTCAGGAAACAGTTAATAAAGTATACCGAAACTTTCTTCCAAGTGGAATTTAATTTACCTCACAAAATCATTATTTTGGAACCTGAGCATTGTACAAATGGTACCCTAGGAAGAAGGGGGAAAAAAATACCACAGACTCCTTGAATATAGATTGGCGACTACAAGTCTAGTCGTCAAATAGGACCCTGGAAAGACTGATGTGTGATTAACGAATACTGCAATATTTTCTTTCTTTAATTGGAGCAAATCTAATTATCTTCAAGTTTCTCACATTTGAACCATACTACAAATGAGTTGTGTCCAGGTACAGAAAAACCAACAATATTTTATTTATAATCTTAGTTTTAGCTTTGAACTACAAATTCTGGTTCTAGAGTTGTTTAAAAGTCATGGGTTTTATAGATGCTCATATGTAAATTAATCTGTGGTTTGCTTACTTTTTTTTTTTTTTCCTTCTCCATAGAATGGTCCTCCTCATAAATACAGAACAGATCATTACATGAAAAATATAAGATCTTGCGTTTTTTTTTTCCTCATTCTCTCTTAAAAATCTATTTCTAATATTGCATTCCCCATTGGACTATTTCATAAGGGCATGAGGGAAAAAGAAAAAAGAAAAGAGAGAGACAAAATAGACTGGATCTCACCACTAGAATTCACCATAAAAATCTCAGAGTGTAACAGAATTCTTACAAAATTTCCTAGACCAGTTCTTTAAGGAATTGAGATCTCCTATGAAAAATATGGCAATCAGGGGAGGGAGGGACGAGATGTGGGGAAATAGTAAAGAAGTGCAGCAAAAACAGGTTCTGAGGAATACACATCATTTTGTCTGCTTTAGATCACAATAGAATTTTTAATAAATAAATTTCTTTTCTTTTTTGTTTTTTTTTTGTAAAGACACTTTTTTGAAACAGTAGATTTAGCCCAGTCATGTGTGTCATTTTTAATAAACTGTCTTTGTTTTTTCAACTGTTTGTTTTCTGTAACGCTGTCAATGGTTTAGATTTGGGTCTCTTGTACATTGTCTTTAGAGTTCATTCGGATCAATAACGGTTCATGCACTGAACTGTGTATTGAATTGATTGTGTTAACTGTCGTTGTGTGGTTGAAGGGGGATTTGTAGGAGTTGTAGTGATTCAGGTGCTCATGCTCAATGGCAGGCATGGGCAGGTGGCTCTCCATGGGCGTGTCCCCTGTGATCTCATCATCCACGTTAATGATCTCAACAGTCCTCGTTGGCGCGTGGTGGTTTTGCCGATGGTGCTGCTTCCTCATCTTGTAGAAGATGACCAGCATCACTGCGGCCATGAGTGTGATGGCCACGAAACACCCAATGATGATTTTGGTCGTCTTCATGACCTCGTCGATCCCCGGGATCCCACTGTTCAGGTCAGTCACTGGGATGGTGAACGTTTTCTCGGTCGACCTTGTGCTCTGGGGCGTGAGAGAGGTGGTCACGTTGGTGGTCTCCCAGTCGATCACTGGAGTAGGGCCCACGTTGTTGTCGGTGGTCCGCGCCTCATCCTGAGAAGGTTCCATCGTCTCTACTGTGACGGTTGAGAAGTACGAGAAGGGAGTAGTGGTGGCTGCCGTAACGTTCAGCGTAGCGGAAGCGGTGGTATTTCCAACAGAATTACTCACCATACATGTGTACATACCTGTATCCTGCACGGTGACGTTCGTGAAGTTTAACGTGCCATCACTGAGCACAGCTATCCGCACCTTGTACGCCCCGTGGGTCATGACTGTTCCGTTGGGAGTAATCCAAGATACGGAGGTCAGGGACGTGGAGGCCCGACACTTGAGCTCGGCTGCCATGCCTTCCGTGACATTGAGGTCTGCGGGAGGCTCCACAATCACCGGGGCGTAGCATGTGAAGTAGTTCTGGTCGAGCTCCCCTATGTACCTCCCTTTCAGAGTAGGAGGGGTGTTACACCGAGCACAGCAAGCTGTGTTGGAGGGGGCCATGTCCTTTATCCACCAGCTGAGCCACAGTATGTCACAGTTACAGTTCCAAGGGTTGTGATGTAAGTGTATCCTCTCTAGATGATGCAAGGGCGTGAAGAGGTCATGAGGCAGTAATGTTAGATTGTTGTGTGCCAGGTTGATCTCCACTAGTGACTGAAGGTTATCAAAGGCATTCCGCTCAATCACTTGAATCTGGGACTGTATCATCCACAGTTTTTGAAGGTGCATCAACCCCTGGAAAGAACCAGGTCTGATGGCAGACAAATGATTCCCAGAAAGATCTAACTCATCTAGTTTTATGAGCGGTGTGAGGTTAGGGATTTCCCGGAGGTTGCACATGGCAAGGTTCAAATACCTCAAGTTGGACAGACCTTCAAAGGCACCTTCTGAGATGTATGAAAGCCTTTTCAATTCCCCTAAGTCTAATCGGCGCAAAGAAGGGATTCTGTTAAAAGCATAAGAAGGAATGCTTTCGATGGGGTTATTTCGCAACCAGAGCTCCTTCAGTTTAGACAAATATACAAAAGCTCCATTCGGGATGGTAGTAAGACGATTGTCAAAGAGTTCCAGAGTGTTGAGGTTCGCCAGACCATTGAAGGCTCCGATTTCAATGGTTCTAATATGGTTCCTACTCAACTGTAAGATTTCCAGGTGCCTCAAGTGCTTGAAGCTGTTCACTTTGATGATCTGGATTTGGTTCTCATGGAGGTTCAGC